CAGCCACATTGGTTACGCGGTGTAAGTATCACACACGGACAATGGACCGCAAGCAACGGTGCTCGAAAGCAGAGAGTTGGCGCAGGTCGACGGTACGAACAAACTAAGTCTGGCAAACAGTCTGTAGTGAACGACAGAGGCATTTTGGATCAGACTGATTTCTCTATGATGGCTGCATTCCGAACGTGAGCCTCCCACGCACATCGAGACAGTAAAGATACAGCCGTAATGGGCTTGGATTGTTTAGTACCCCGCAAGTTCATTAAAAGATCGTGTAAAATTTTCACAAGTATATGGCCCACAAGTTTGTAGAATGCTGGAGAACATTCATCTGATCCGACGGCCTTATTCAACTACAGCAGTGCAATCTCACGTTCGATTTCTTAGTGATAGGGTGGATCTAATGGGCAGGACGGTCGTTGTACGACTAAACTGCCTTCCAAAGTGCTCATCCTAACGCTCCAAGCGTTTCGATAGATTGTGGATAAGACTACCCACTCTCACCACATATACACCAGGTCTACTGTTGCCCGTTTCTCTTATAAGACAGAATAAATTTCGATAGTTGGCTGTTTCCATATCCGACATTTGCTCGCAGCATATCGTTACTTTTGTGTAGTTTTGACTTCCGGGCAATTCACCAAAAGATTTGGGCCTGTAATTTCGTTTCCATCTCCTGGTACTATATATATTGCTGTTGGCTAAGTGTTCCATAGAGACGACATCTGCCACATTTCGATGCCATGATTACAGCTGACCAGTGAAACGAAGCGACCATTAGTTGATCTTCTTGTTACTGTGTAGAAAAATACGACAGTGCACTCGAGTGGGTAATTTCCATCCGCTTCATAGGTTACGGTCCCAGTGGCTGGCTTGCCGAACAACCTCCTCGTGGTGCCAGCTGGGTGGTTCGGGTTTTTCCCGTTCCAGCGAATGGTTCGGCGGCAGTGTTCCAGGACGTGGTGGGTTTTCGCCTGGCAAGCGTTCTCCCTATAAAAAGCCACATATGTCCGTTTAACAACACTGCGACGTGGCGGATGTGACTCGCCACTAAATAAAGTCACTGCCCCTTGCCCCTCCCTGAGAGGCATTGTACTTTAAGGGTGAGTTGGGCCCCTGGTCCTTCACGGACCGAAAGGCGTATGAACCATCTACTTGGTCACCGGCTCCCAACGGGTTGCGACGCCCTCACATCGCCCTGCTGCCTTGTAGGTTAGATCTTTGATCAAAGGCTCGGGGTAGGGCCCCCTAAGACAACCCTCTACTTCGGCCTGGGCAACCGGGTAGTATCACGCCCGCTGACGAATCATGGACTCCACCGCTCACTACTACTACTTGCCATGCCGCTCTTCTGTCTTAACTCAACCGCTCAACGTCCACTCACAGACCACCCCACCTCCCGTCCTTCATCTACATGTACTCTTATGTCTTCTACGGTCACCGTCACAAACGACCCACGTCTCGCAGCTGATGGAAGTAACAGCCAAACTCCCGGTTCTCCATGTCCTGCGATCGCAACCGCCTCTCACTCCACCGAAGCTCCAGCTCTTCTCCGACCTGGTTCTCCATTCATCCTCGCAGCGTTTAATGTTCGAACTTTGATGCAGATCGGACGACAAGCATGTCTGGCCCGTACTCTTGAAACGCTATCGGTAGACATCTGTTGTCTTTCAGAGACCAGATTACAAGACTCTAGCGCCGTCATCAGAATGGCCTCTCCGGTAAACTCTGACGCCAAATACTACTTGCGGCTTTCCGGAGACCCAGAATCTACCGCCATTGGTCAAGCTGGTGTTGGGGTTGTATTAAGTGCCAGGGCTGAATCAGCTCTGCTTGACTGGATCCCAGTCAACAGCCGACTATGTGCAGTCAGACTAAGAGGTTCATGTAACGTAAGCAGGCGTCGAGATGTTAAGCGTGCCTTATTTGTCGTCTCCGCCTACGCCCCTACAGACTGCAGCCCGGATGCAGTTAAAGATAGCTTCTACCAACAACTACATGAACTTCTGCGTTCCTCCAAACGGACGGATATAGTCATTCTTGCCGGGGACTTTAACGCACGGGTTGGCCGCCTTCTACCAAGCGAGCACCACATTGGGGGTAGTTTTGGTCTCGGTGGCAGTCGATCAGACAATGGAGACAGATTACTTGCTCTTTGCTCTGATCATCGCTTGTTTCTTTCGAGCACTAGTTTTCGACACTCGAGGAGACAGACTGCTACCTGGCGCCCGCCCTCACAAACGCAAGAGTGCTCCCAGCTTGACCACATAGCAATCAGCTACAGATGGCGCGGAAGCGTAATGGACTGCCGATCGTACTGGTCAACTTTTCTGGACTCTGATCACGCATTGGTTCGTGCTAAGATTTGCATGCGTTTCGGAGGATCACCTAAGCGCGCCCACTACCGACCGGACGTCGCAAATCTACAAAACGCTGCGGTTTTAACCAGGTACCAAGCCTCACTGTCAACTTTGCTTGGCTCAACTATTGACGGTGATCTCGATTCGCAGTGGGCGCATATCAAAGATGCGTTAGTTTCCGCCAGTATCGACACTTGTGGAGTTACCCGTCACCCACCGAAACATTGGATTTCCGCCGACTCCTTGTCGCTGATGGACAAACGCCGCTTGATCCCATCGGATTCGAGACACGTTGAAGAACGCCAATACCTTGGTCGAGAGTTGCGCAGGAGTCTGCAAATGGACCGCGAAGCTTGGTGGTGTGAACGTGCTAGGGAGATGGAGCTTGCTAGTCTCTGTGGTAATACCAGGAAACTCTTCCATCTCCTTCGAGTCACCGAAGGTGTTCGATCTGGTATAAGTGAAACAATATGCGAAGAGGATGGCACCTTAATCACCAATCTTCAACGACGGTTGGAGCGATGGGCCGAACATTTTGGCTCGCAGTTTTGTTGGCCCCCAGCTCCATCTGCTACCTCTGGCGCTCGCGCTGGGGCCGAGTGGTCTACCCCAACAGACCCTCCCTCTTCCCAGGAAATCGAGCAGGAGCTCCGGCACCTGAAGCGTTATAAAGCTCCCGGCCCTGATGGTCTTCACCCAGCTCTATTTAAAGATGGTGGCGCATCGTTGGTCCGAGAACTCACCGTTTTGTTCTCGAAAATTTGGTCGAAAGAGAAGGTTCCATCATCTTGGGGTGAATCGATAGTCGTACCCATCTTCAAAAAGGGCCTGCGCACAATCTGCTCCAACTACAGAGGAATAAGTTTAGTCCCCGTCGTTTGCAAGCTGCTGGTGTCCATCATACTTCGCAGGCTATCCCCAACAGGCGAATCGTTGCAGCGAGAAGAACAAGCTGGGTTTCGCCCTGGTCGCGGCTGCATCGATCAAATCTTCACACTTCGCCAGATCCTCGAGCTCCGCCATGTGTATCAGAGGCCAACGATTGCTGTGTTCCTGGATATCCGTGCTGCCTTCGATTCTGTCGATCGTACAGTACTGTGGCAGTGCCTTCTGAGGAACGGTGTCCCCGAGAAGTTCGTCTCCATACTGCGCGCTCTGTACAGTCTGACCTCGGGCAGGGTTAGGGCTTATGGCATGCTTTCGCCTACCTTTGTGGTCTCCAGTGGAGTTCGACAAGGATGCCCTATCTCTCCGTTCCTATTCAACTTTGCCATTGAGGATGTCCTGAAGAACGCTCTGAGCGATTCGTTGAACGCTGGCGTTGAGCTCCTCCCAGGTAGTCGAGTTGTTGATTTGGATTATGCTGATGATATCGTCTTGCTAGGTGACGATCCACAGGTCGTCCAACTTGCATTAAACCGCTTGACGATTGAAGCATCAAAGTATGGTATGTGCTTTTCGCCATCCAAATGCAAGGCTCTCCTTCAAGACTGGCAGGTGCCTCTGCCTGCACTCACGCTTGCTGGTGAGACACTGGAGGTTGTGGAGAGCTTTGTCTACTTGGGAAGTTGTATCACTGCTGGCGGGGCTGTTGGAGACGAGATTTCGATGCGCATCTCGAAAGCACGCCTCGCTTTTTCTAGGCTGAGGCATTTGTGGCGTCGCCACGACATTCGTCTCTCCATCAAAGGGCGGGTCTATTGTGCAACTGTTCGTGCTGTATTGTTGTACGGATGCGAGACCTAGACCATTCGTAAAGATGACTTGCGCAGGCTATCCGTCTTCGACCACCGCTGTCTGCGGTCCATTGCCCGTGTGTGGTGGCAGCACCACGTAAGCAATGTGGAAGTTAGACAGCGTGTCTTGGGACGTGGAAGCCACTCGCTCGAGGAGCTCATCTCACTGCATCAACTGCGGTGGTTGGGACACGTATTGCGCATGCCTGTCCAGCGTTACCCCCGTCGTGCGTTGTTTGCACTTGCTGGACAGGGCTGGAAGAGACGGTCTGGTGGACAGCCTACAACATGGAGAAGCCGCATGAAAAAGTTGACGAAACAATTGGCCTCGGCCGGTTGTTGTCGACGACCTGGTTGGGGTCCGAGAGACGAGGATACTTGCTGGTTGAAAACCTTGGAAGTTATGGCTCAAGATCGATGTCAATGGCGGACGTGTGCATCAGTGTGTTGCGGTGTCCCTTCCTCCTCCCCTAAAAACGAACAAACTGAAAAAAAATTTCAAAAACTGTGAGTGGTAAACTTGACAAAAAAAGCATTTCTTGTTGCTCTTTTCTTATTATTCATATTGTTTTCCTATTCAGCCATGATTCCGATGGCACAATATCTGTACCACAGATTGTGTATAATATATATATATATATATATATATATATATATATATATATATATATATATATATATATATATATATATATATATACGGTCCCAGTGATCGCATTGACTAAAGTTCACTTCAGTGTGAATCGCGATCCACATTGAGAGTGCGCATTGCAATCCACACACACACACACACGTGCTTCTAAACAACGCCTGGACGAAGGTGAGTAGGAAAGCAAAAAAAACTGATCGCCTGCTAATGCGATGAAATTAGGTGGACCATTGTATTTGGCTCATAGTTGCTTACCTGGATCGTCTGCTCATCTTTCAGGTCGGCATTTTTTCGAAACAAAGTTCGAGCCTCGTTACGTATGTAGTCAGCTTCCTTCCGTGTCTGCGCATCTGAGCCAGAGGGAGAACGCCACTCACGAGCAAATCGCCATATGCGGCGATACAGGGATAGCACCTGATCGCGTGTGGTTCTCGATGCGCACTGAAAAAGAAGAAACTCATTCAATGGAGAGGAGAATTCAGGAAATCATACATGCCGGAAAACAGTATTTAGTATCAAGTAGTAGAAAGTCAGTGTACCGTGCATACCGATCACGTAGTGGCAGTTTGATGAGACCGAAGCGTTTTCCAACGATTGGATATGGGTATCAGGTACAAGTTGCGAGGTGGTCCAGTCGTTCAGTGAATTTGCCTTAAAGATACAACCAACGGTATTTCCCTATCAATGTGTCCGGGAGAAAGTAAGCATTGCCTAGAAAATCCACCATTGTAGCGATTAGTCGATTATTAACGATTATAGCATCGATTTCGAACGTTCTGGAATGTTCCAAGTCCTGCACGTGACTACAAACCACCTGACACTTCGGCCAGAGCTATGGGGAACCGCTAACCTTGGTAGTTGACCTTCAAATTCCATAAGTCGAAGGTCAGTAAGAGACCTATGAATACAATCAAGGTTCACGGTAGTTGCACAGTGTTTGTTGACGGTGGTTAATACGTGATTTTGTCAAGGTCATTGGCGTTCTGCTTTTCCTTCTATTGGAATAGAAGTTTTGTGGAGCAGTAAGGTGCTAACTTAAGAATCGCATCAAGTGAGGAGACTATAAAACAATGTTTCATGGAATCGATCGGTGGGCAATTTGTAGCCTATCGATGCTCTTCCCGGTCTCAGGTTAGTATTAAAATCACCGTTCTCTGTGTTTACTCGCCAATATCTATCGATGACAACTGGTTCCACTGACCTCCGAATATGAGGCGTTCGTCTAAGCGTGACTAATCATCATTATTACACACGTCAGCTAGAGGTGGGAAACACCTCAGCTACTGCAGGGTTCGATGAAGATAAACGATGATGTTAGGTTCCATTGGGACGAAACGTCCGTTCAGCGAAACGCTGGGTGCACCGTCTAGCTGCTTAACTGATGGCTGACTATTCACATAACTATCCGAATCCTTCATCTGTCATACTTGACGTTTTGACTTGTGATGGTAAGATCAGTCAACTCGATTTATTACGCTTGGGTACAGTGGTAAACACAGATTAGACGAGTTGAGTCGAAATAAAAAGGGCAGAATAGTATGTGATTCTGGAAAACGATAGTACATTGTGAAGATTTGTCGCAGCTACACAGCCACTACACATCCAGGGAAACGTTAGACGATCGTTTCGTCCTATTGGGACTCGTCAGCAGCGCACACACGCTGAATCCTGATGGATTCGAACCCACGACCTTACACTTGCTAGTCACCGACTAATGCCACTGAGGCATGGGTGACGACAGGGGACCATCATGACTGACATGTAACTGCGATATAGCGTGGCTCATCCTCCATTGTCATACATTATTTGAACGTGCAGAGGACAGGGTTCGCCTTCGGAGCCACGACTTCCTTTGCTACTAGTTTTGGAGTGCCCATTGCATGAAACGGAACGTTCCGCCTGAAAGTGAGGTATAAGATTCTAGAAACTAACTCTCAAGCACATGTGATAGTGGTCTTGTAACGAGATTTTGGCAGCGTGGGCGATAATGAAAACTCCCAATTTAGCACGTGACCCAAGCGATTGGATAGACCGAGTTTATCTCCGCAACCCAAAGATACAGTGGCTATTCCAAAACGACAAATGTGAATCATAACCCTATGGAAAGCGTTGCTGGTGAATCTGAACGATGAGGAGTCTACCGGAAAAACCATGCTGATCAGGTTACAGCAGTAAGGCGGTAAGCACTACCGACGCCTCGTTGCCGTGCAACCACCACCAGTCGCACCTAGTCTAAGGACACTGCGACGATCGCCCGGTCCCTACGCAGGCCTGAACTCGGGCCCTCAGATTACAAAGCAGACTTTTGATCCTATAGGCTACGAGCAAGCCGGCTTACACTTTGAACTGTAACCAAATCCATTTGATGAGTTCAAACAAAGACGGAAACAGACAGTAAATTGAAATTACTTATGAAATTGAAATGTTTGGGCTCGAGGAAAACGCAGATGTTACAACACTTTAGCAGCCAGTGAAATGATCATGATTTGGGTGACTGTGTGGGGCGTATCCATCCGCATCCGGATAAGAACAGGCGATAAAAATGTACCGGGATGAGAGAAAAAGTAAGGAGTACACAGAAGAAATAACAAGAGTGAATGCCACAATGCCGCTGTGTTCAACTGCAGCGCGTTTGATGGGGCACATACTGATGTTAGTTCAGACGCTCCCACAACTACAGAGGAATCAGCTCTGGTTAGCGTGTTAGTCAATCGCTTCGAAACGACCACCACGAGAAAGGAAAATGTAGGTCGATAGCAAACATGCGATGATTGTGATCCGATCAACGCATATTGACTCCGTTTAGTAGGACAGCAAATTTAGCGTCATTGAGCGGCAGTCGAGTACTCACTGGAGTGGGTATATTATTCACAGGCATTTTTGCTCAAAGATGACTTTTCCCCTTAGCTTCTTAAATACGCATTAGATATACATAGTAAGGTTAGGTGCCGTGGTTGCCACAAATTCTAGTCGCTGAATAGGCGAAGAAGGCAATTGTCCAGTCAGATTAAACCCATGCGATATCAATGACGCAAGATGGAGTGCGTGATCCACATGTAGATAAGGCGTGAATCTTTTGATAACACCAGCCTTTCGTAAGAGTATAGTATCAAAGGCGAACAGTTGTGCACATGTGGATGTATGGCACAAACCATGAATTACGCGAGGTACGCGAGTCTTACTGGACGAGGGCGTGTGCCGGAACCTGCGCAACCCTTGCGCAGGTGTATTTTTGAGCAGATACGTGACTTCTACGATATTAGGTGTTATGTGTGCAACACGTGCAGCATGCATTGAGCAAAGATGACCTTCCCGTAACTGAAAAACGAAGAAACATCCACCTGACCAGGAAAGCGGTGTTCAGCGATGACGATAAATCACGTGATTGGAGACACACTCAGTACTAACCTTGGCACACTGACCACATGGGTTGACATGGCCATCTGGAAAACCGCAGTGGCTCAACAACTCGACTGTTCAGTGGTTGGAGATCCCATTCGGCATGGCACAATCGCTGATCCGATTTCACTCGGTTTCTTGCGTATTGCTAACAACACATCAAAGATTGATTGTACTCACTTTGTCTTGCATCCTACCTAATTTTCCTCGTTAGTATGAGTGTTATCCGTATGCGAGTTGGGACAACTGGATCCATCACAGTTCGGTGTCCGGGTTGAACTCGTGTAACTGAACTGCAGCTGGTCGACGGCTGACATATATCCGCTCAATCCTTGCAGAGTGAACACGAAAGCGTGCAGTGCTGTTGTGCGTTAGCCAGTTTAGCCTCATTCGTGCATAGGTGGATTCTGACACAGCAGCGGTATTGCGCACCATCCTCTCTCCAAGGGGACAAACGTAGGACAGAAAGTTCGCTCCAGATGAATCAACCAAGAGGAAGTTACTCTTAATGATTTCGAGTACACATTTTAGATGGATACCACTTGTCATGGAGAACCTAGTGAGATTTTCGTAGACGGGTAGGTAGTAAATAAACGACGATACGATCCAGTCAACCGATTGACGGCCCATTAGTCGTGATCCAAGTTGAGATATGAAACCCTTTGACATGGGGCTCTCTCACCACGATAAGAAGTAAGCCGTGTTTGATTAGATAAGCGGAAGTGGACTAACTAGAGGCTATCAAAAGTGTAACTTACTGAAAACAGCATATCCAGATGTCGCATCACATTGTTATTACGATAAAAAGCAGTTCAGTTCAATCCGCAAAACGGGACAGCAGCGACAACACGACTCATGGCGCCGTAAGCTCGAATCATTGAACCGAAGGAGCACTGTCTCGAAAACAGTCAGTAACGACAATACTGTGGCTTATTCATCGATTTCGCTAGGTTGAATGAATCTTCCAACTAAGGACACTGCTGCTGTACCGCCGCTGTACGATACAGTAATTCAACCCTACAAACAGATGTCCGTCTAACAACACTGTGACATGGCAGATGTGACAAGTCACTGAATAAATTCACTGCCCAATCGTTCACACTGGCAAGTTGATCAGCGCTACATTTTACTATTATTGATATATGGTTGGCGGCATCCATTTTCGGATTTGCCTGTCACTGTGGTCAGCCACAGAACGCCTGCGCCTACAGAGGGACCATGAGCTGCTTGCGCTGCACCACCCACAGCTCCATCCACACACCCCATATTCAGTGTAAACCCGAAGGAATAAGACCGGGAGGCATGTGGATGGGAGCAACGTTTCATCAACGGAGCCGGTCCACACTCCTTCACAGGCAAACGCAAGCATGCTGTAGTTTGGGAATCAAGTGCACACAACGCGGTGGCTTAGCCGTAGTCCGCTTCACACTGAGTGCATGGAACCACTCTTCAAGCCTAGCACGACAACAAGGACCGTGCACCCCATCCCCTCCAGCAACGACCAACTGTCTCCTGGAGCCAGATTGATGAGGTAGTGGGTAATAGACAGGTAAGCACCTTGTCAACATGCACATCAAGCGCAGCCACACCGGGGATGTCAAACAACAGCCAATCATTCGAAATGCCGATATCGAATAAAGTAAACGCATATGACGACATAAATCCTCGCTAAATGAGCATATAGAAGAAATTGGTTATAAGTGAATCCATGATAAGTACAAAATGTCCGAGTTGTTTTTTAAAAAAATACCGCGCGATAAAATTACACAAGTTTACCACAATTTGCATGAGCGACGTGTGTAAGTTGGGAGAAGATTATCAAGCACGCAGAACAAACCAAATAAAATGTAACGAATTGTATCCACATTAAAAAGACCTGGTTTAAGTGTAAGTTGGTTTAGCCCAACTGCGGTGAAGAAGCATCATGAATGCTACATCAGCCTCAGCATGGGGCACACATACATACATGGTTGGCGACGTCCGGTGTCGGATTTGCCTGTCACTGCGGCCAGCCAAAGGACGACTGCACCTACAGAGAGACC